TGGTGCTCCCTGTACCCTTTGGCCTCCCTGGGGATCCCTGTGGGCATGGTGCTCACCATACCCCTTTTCTCTGGCTCTGCAATGTCTATGCACTTCTTTTTCTCTTCCTGGTATCTCTAACGAAGCCACCAGGATTCGGACATGACAACCTGATCTAACGCTTACTGCCTCCTGAAGGCCATTTGAAGAAGGACCGCTGTGGTTTGGAGGGAAGGGCCCTGTGAGAGCAGCCTCCCAGACCCAGATCTCACAGACACTCCTTTTCTCGCTGTTGCAGTTGTAAACCTGGAGGTGCTCAGAGCCCAGGAAGAATGGGAAGTGGTGGACACCATCCATCCAGACACAGGTAAGTCCAGCACAGCTACCATCAGGATCCGCATGCAGTCAGCAGTGACTGGGCATTTTAGCTATGTGACACAGAATAAAGTCCCTCCCACAGATCCTGAGATGATAGCCTACCACAGGAAGAAGGGAAGGAACGCCACAGCGCAAGGCTGCCATTGCTGCTCACCATCCAGTGCGAAGGGAAGATGAGAGAGTCTTGGTCAGGGTTGGCCCCTGAAGGGGGCAGGGATGGGGGCAGAGAATGAGGGACCCTGTGGCAGCCATCTGCTGGCAATCTCTGAAAGCTGGGAAGAATTACCTCAAGTCCTATTCTGACGGATTTAGATGGAGCTGTAGAAGGGGAGAGACCATCTGGGTCTCACCCGAGCTTCACCAAGCTCAGGAGAGATGTCACAGTATGTGGCTCCAGCCACCACCTGTGTCGCTGGTGACAAGTTGGTAGCCAGTGCTTGGTTTAGAGGTGACAACCAGTTGGCCGCCAGTGGGTATTTGCTGTCAGGACAACTACTATCCCAAATCCTCAGGTGTCTTCTCTTTTTACCTAGAGAGTGGGGTCAGCTCCCAGCAGCCTGGCCAGCTCATCTCCTTCAGCGAGGCTCTGCAGCACTTCCAGACCCTGGACCTCTCCTCCTTCAAGGTGGCTGTAGGGAAGTACCGGTGTCCAGCATTCACCTGTTTACTAAACTTTCCGAACACTGATATTTCTCATCTAAGAAATCATGGGGTATAGGATCTCAAGTAGCCAAAGGATCAGATTTGATGGCTTCCATCTATAATCCCAGCATTAGAGGAACTCGGGCAAGAGGGTTGTCTCATACTTAAGGCCAGCTTCCAAGCTAAGCACCCATGACTGACTGATAGGTTATGTGCGTGCAGATTCCTTGTGGTGACCAGAAGCTGTTAGGTCCTCTGGAACAGGTGGTTGTGAGCCACCTTGTAAGAGGAGACTGTTCATTTGTTCCCGATTTCCCAGGCCCGAAATAATTACACAGAAACTGTATTACTTAAATCACTGCTTGGCCTATTAGCTCTAGCTTTCTTTTTTCTTTTTTCTTTTTATTTATTTATTAAAGATTTCTGCCTCCTCCCCGCCACCGCCTCCCATTTCTGTCCCCCTCCCCCGATCAAGTCCCCCTCCCTCGTCAGCCCAAAGAGCATATAGCTCTAGCTTCTTATTGGCAAACTTTTATATCTTAAATTAACCCATTTCTATTAATCTGTGTATCGCCACATGGCTGTGGTTTACTGGCAAGGTTCCGGCATGTCTGTTTCCAGTGGGCGGCTACATGGCTTCTCACTGATTCCACCTACTCTTTCTCTATATATATATCTCTTCCAGCCTGGCTATATTCTGTTAAGCCATTGGCCAAAAGCAGCTTCTTTATTAACGAATAAAAGCAACACATATACAGAAGGACGTCCCACACCATTTCCCCTTTTTTTTTAAATAAAAAGGAAGGTTTTAATTTTAACCTGTTATATGTAAAAATACATATAATAAAACAAGTATCAAGCAAGAATATGGTTACAATATTTATATCTTCTTTATCTTTTATCATAACTAAGGAAAGCTATAATTATAACTTCTATTATTCAACTCCATCAAAGATACCAGAAAGATATAATATTACCTAAGTTAACAGGAAGTGCATTGTAAGCAACTTCCAAAACTAGAATTGACAGAAACATCTTGCTGCCTGGACAGTCACCCAAAATTCTTCTGTAATGTTGGGACACCCATCTTCAGCCTACAGGTCCATAGTATCTGGCAGACTTTTCCATGAAGCAGATTTCAAAGACAGTTCCACCTATATTAGCACTTTGTCAGTCACTTTCTTCTGTGTCCTGCAGAATGCTGGCAGTTCTCTCATGAAGCAGGAACCCTGAAGGATGGTCTCACCTTTAGGCAAGTTCAGCAGTCATTTTTCTGTGGGTCCTGCATGTCCAGTTTATATAGCAAACCGTCAAGCAGTGCAGGCAAGAACTGTTTCTTGCTCAAATGGCTAACAAATTCCATGAGGAGCCTCTTCAATGCCCATCATCCTCTTGAAGTAGATTGGTGCTGTCAGGAGCAGATGAATCTCATGTTATGAAAAGTCCTAAGTTCTTAAAACATCTTAAATACCATATTCTGTAGTCTTTGAAAGATCTCAAGAATACCTATCCATCTGACATATAACTCTGTACATCTAGAAAACCTAACTAACATGACTACAAGCTTGACTATTATAGATGACTCTATTAACCTATATTTCTTAATTATACATTACATTTTTAAATGAGCAATACAAACACAAACCTTAATCAAGAACAGAAAAATATATATGTGTGTGTGTGTATATATATATGTGTGTGTGTATATATATAAACAAAACTGATCTTAAATTTGTATCAACAAACCAACTTCCATACCATTGCAAATCTCTATAGCATATCCCCCTTTAAATGTAAACAAACATTTATAAACAGTATTTGGGAATTTGGGTGTAGTTCTCTCCAAACTGCTTCCTGCTTTTTGTTTAGCAAAGTAATTTTGGGAGGTGTTCACTGCAACCTTTTTTGGGGGGGCTTGGTCTATAAAACCACATTAGTCTGGAAGGAATCTACAGGTTCTTATCTTCTGTGGAAACAAAAGAAGAACCTCTTTTCCAAAGCAACAAATCATTAGACCCAAATTTTGAAGTCAAGATACCTTTTATATACATATACATTTATGTATACACACACATGGTGTGTGTGTGTTGGTTTAGCTTAGCAGCCCATACAATAAAATGTCTCTCTGTACTTAGCTCCTTCACAGTCAAAAATTCATGAAAACACAATAATATACATAGTCCAGACTCTCTGTGTCTGTTTCATCTTTACATAGCTTCTTTTTTTTTTTTTACTCCTTTTAACCTATGACTTTCTGTACTGTGTCTCTTTAAAGATTTTGTTTTGTTTTTTATTTAGACAAAAAAGAAAAGGTGATGTGGAAGGTGATGTATGCTGTGAATATGTTTTATTGCCATTGGTTAATAAAGAAGCTGCTTTTGGCCAATGACTTAACAGAGTAAAGCCAGGCTGAAAGAGATATATATAGAGTGAGTAGGCAGAGTCAGAAGCCATGTAGCCTTCCACATGAGATAGACACACCGGAACCTTGCCAGTAAGCTACAGCGGTGTGGCAATACACAGATTAATAGAAACTGGTTAATCTAAGCTATAAGAGTAAGCCAGGAATACGCTTATTGGCCAACCAGTATTGCAATTAATACAGATTCTTTGTGATTATTTTGGGAATCTGGGCAGCCAGGAAACGAGCGTGTAGCCTTCCCCAACACCACCTGATATGCTGTCAGTGCTGGGAACCAAACCCGGGTCTTTCAGGAGACCAAGTGCTCTCATTAACCGATGAGCCGTCTCTGAAAACCATGTAGGGCCCTGCTAGCCTTTGTGGAACTGAACCTGAGGAGCCCTTGCAACCCTGTGATTCAGGACATGTGCAGATGTCTCCTGGGTTTTCCCTCCATGAGATGGGAAGTATTGGAATCAAAGACCAGGCAGCTCCTTAGGGAGGGAAGACAGACTGTCTAAGGAGTGGGGTACTAATGATTCAGGGCAAATGAAGGAATATTCCCTGTCGGATCTAGGAGCTGTTTGGGAATTTCATTTTTTTTTATTTTTGGAACAGGCTTGTTATGTAGCCCTGGCTAAATTGGCACTCACTATGTTGCCAGGGCTGGTAATAAACTCAAGGCAATCCTCTATCCTCGCCTCTCAGGTATTGGCGTTAGAAGCATGCACCACCATACCCAATATGACCTAGAAATTTAGGAAATATGCTGGGAGCTAGAGAGATAGACGGCTTAACGGTTAAGATCACTTGTTTCAGCAGAGGTCTCGGGTTTGATTCCCAAAACCTACATGTCAGCTCACAACCATCCATTACTTCAGGCCAGGGGATTTGACACCCTCTTCTGACCAACCCAGGCACCAGGCACACACACGGTGCACAGACATTCATTCGAGAAAAGCACTCATACACATAAAATAAATTTTTAAAAAAGATGTCAGTACCAAGTATGGTGACATACATGTGTAATTCTAGCACTTAGGAGGCTGAGACAGGAAGATATCATAAGTTCAAGGCCAACCTGAGCTACATAGAGAGAAACTTTGTCTTACAAAAGTTGTGTAGCAGGTGGGCAGTGGTACCAGCACTCAGGAGGCAGAGGCAGGCAGATCACTGAGTTTGAGGACTGCCTGCTCTACAGAGTTAGTTCCAGGACAGCCAGGGCTGTTGTGTGGGGCAATAAAAGGACTCACTGGGTAAAGGCCCTTGCCTTACAAGCTGCATGGCCTGAGATTGATCTCCAGAACCCACTGAAAGGTGGGAAGAGAGAACTGACCTCCACACATGAGTCATGACAGGTATGCCCCTCACACACATCATGAATACATACACCAATACTAAATTGGGACTGGGAAAAGGAGTATTAGGGGAATAAGCACACTGAGGGATGGTGGGCTCGAGTATTCAGTCTAAAGCCTGGATTGTGAGAGAGGCAAGAGTCAGGCACTGATACAGAAGGCTAGAAGATGCCAAAACCCAGCACCTGACTTTAGGGAGCCAGCATGATGTAGTTTAGAAGGAACATCTAACTCATATAGCCAATATGAAGAGTAGACAGCTTTGCTGAGACTACTATCCTGACTTTTACCTGGATATATTTGAGATTCCTTGTGGCCACAGCTGAGCCTCCCTGGTCGTCAATAGCTAGTTCTGAAAAAGTCCAGAAGACAAATGGAGAGAATTGGCTGGGAATATCTACACCTAAGGACACCTTGCAAAGGATCTGGGAGCTACAAGTGCCTGTCTTTGCAGTCTTGGTGACTTCTGACTCTTTTTCCTGGCCCAGACACTAGCTGAGGGGTCAGTCTCTGCTTGATAAAAGTTTTAATAGATTGTTTGTGCTTTTCTTCCCAGAAAAGAATCCAGCCAACTATTCGAAGGACTGGGCTCGCCGCCCTCCGGCATTGCCTCTTCGGGCCACCAAAGCTGCACCAGGACCTTCGGGAAGAAAGAGACTTGGTCCTCACCATTGCTCAGTGTGAGTGCTAGGGGCAGGTCCAGGGCACACAGTGGGGCTCTTGCCTATTCAGATTGCCGTGAGCACAGGCACGTTGGTAGCTTGTCTTGAACATAGTCCAATTCCCCATTCTCCAGGGAGCAATGGTTTCTCCCTGGGGACAGCCTAGCAGAAATGGTATGTGTGTTTTGGGGCAGGTGGCCTGGACAGCCAAGACCCAATACATGGCCAAGTGCTGCGGACCATTTACAAGAAGCTGACTGGCTCCAAGTTCGACTGTGCCCTTCATTGAGACCACTGGGAAGACCTGGGCTTTCAGGGTGAGAGAAAAGCACCTGTCTTGCTTTCCTTATCCCATTGATTCCGGATTCCAGAGAAGAGGCCATCTTGAGTGAGGAAAAACATCTAGGAGGGTCCAGAAGAGGCAAGGGCCCTAGGGGCAGCATATAGGAGTATATGCATATAGGAGTATCTCGTGTCCCTTGGAGCTCTACCATCTATTACCTTTGTGCTATTAGGAAGTACCTTTGTGCTGTGAGATGGGACATGTGGAGTGATATCATTTGTTCTTTCCTTTTTTTTTTGTTTTTTGAGACAGGGTTTCTCTGTAGCTTTGGAGCCTGTCCTAGAGCTAGCTCTGTAGACCAGGCTGGCCTCTAACTCACAGAGATCCGCCTGCCTCTGCCTCCCTAGTGCTGGGATTAAATGCTTGTGCCACCACTGCCCTGCTGTTTTTCCTCTTTTTAAATGAAAATTGTATTCTAGTTATTTTAAATTGAAACATTTACTTCTCTTGCCTTTGAATTATAGTTTTATTCTTTTGAGACAGGGTCTCATATAGCCTAGCCTGACCTCGGACTCTTATGCTCAGACTATAGCTATGCATGACCTTTGGCTACAGAGCCAGCTTTTCTGGGGCCTTTTCGTTCTGCTCTTAGTCTATTTTCTGTTGCTATCACCAAATACTCAAGACTGGGTAATGTGTAGAAATTAGAAGCTGATTTGGCTCGTGGTTCTGATGACTGTGAAGTCTGGCGAGCGTGGCTTCAGAATCCCCTCGGTGTCTGGTGAGGGCCTTCTCACTGTGTCCTAACATAGTAGAGATACAGGAGAAAGGACAGGCCTGCGGCAGCTGTAGTCTTTCTTCCTCTTTTTCCCTTCTGGAGGTGGTCTCTCTGCCGGCCTTGAGCTTGCTCAGCAGACAAGGATGACCTTGAAGTCTCATCCTCCTGCCTCTGTGTCTCAGGTGCTGGGATAGCAGGCCTGTTGACAAACATGTCCAGTTTATACCCTGGCCATACACCCAGCCTCGTGTATGGCAGGCAATCACTCTGCAAGCTAAGCTACACCCCACCCTCTGTCTTGGTGAAAATCTTGCTGGTAGTTGTGTGGGAAAATGACTACAGAAGGCTGTGGGAACAGAAGACCGCTGCCAGGGAAGTCCCGAGTGCCGGAGGCTGGGTTCGTTTGGTCCCGTAGAGCCCAGGGCAGTCCCGAGTGCCGGAGGAAGGCCTCGTTTGGTCCCGTAGAGCCCATCACGGGTGTGTCTGGAACATTGCTGTGCAGGGCCAGTGCCAAGGCAATTTCCCAGCTGTGTCCTGGGAGCTCAGGGGACCCAGGCAGCCTCCACCCTCGCTCACTGTCACACCCTGGTTTCTGCCGTAGGAGCAAATCCAGCTACAGACCTGAGAGGGGCAGGCTTCCTTGCCCTCCTGCATCTGCTGTATCTGGTAATGGACTCAAAGACATTGCTGATGGCCCAGGAGATCTTCCGCCTGTCTCATCACCACATCCAGGTAGGATTCTGGGGTGATGACATAGGAGAACGCTGGGGACTGTGTGGTTCCGCATCAGGATGGTGGAGACGAGCCCGGAGTGGCTTCTTTGTCAGATGCTTTAGAATCTGAGCTCCACCATTCTTTAGCTGCGAGTCTTTAGCAAATCGCTCAGCCTCTCCGAGCCTTGATTTCCTCATCTGCTGCAGAGAAATCTTGAAGACTGTGCTCACTTCTTTCTGTTTCTGTGGCAGAGTATGCTGGTAAGAACTGAGAAAGGAGAAAGGAAGGAAGAAGGAAGGAAGGGAGGAAGGAAGGAAATATTGTTTATTTGGTTGATTGGTTGGTTGGTTGGTTGGTTGGTTGGTTGGTTGGTTTTTCAAGACAGGGTTCCTCTGTGTAGCCCTAGCCGTCCTGTAATTCACTTTGCAGACCAGGCTGGCTGCAAACTCAAAGATCTGCCTGCCTCTGCCTCCTAAGGCAGGGTTTGTTTCTGCTCCTAGTTTGATGTTCTGGTGCATCAATGCCAGGGAGTCACAGCTGCAGGAGCTTCGGGAGGCAGCTGGTCACATTGCACCAAGGTCAAGAAACCAGACAGTAACTGCAGGAATGCTAAGTGGGAGGCTCACTCTGTCCGTTTCATTTGGGTCCAGATCCCCTGCCCAGGGAATGGGCCTGCCCACAGTTATGATGCGTGTCTCCATGTCAGCAACATGATGGAGATCATCTGTTGTTAGCATGCCCAAAGGCCCATATCCCAGGTGACTCCAGACACTGGGATTTGTCAGCACTAACCATCATGACAGTTAGCTGGCCCGCTGGGAGTATTCAGTTGTCTATGATCCTATGCACTGGGCACACAAAGGGGTTGCTGCTTTCGTCCTGGTAGTTTCTTTCAACTCTGAAGGGACAGGGTTAGTTTTGGGGTGACCCATGGTCTTAACCATCAGCCCAGTGATGGTTTTGGTAGCCCCTTATTCTCTCCTGCCGTTTGGGGATAGGTCTGGTAGTTTTCCCATGTAGTGGAAGATAGTATTGACTCCAAGGAAACAGATGTGGCCTGCTTCCTTCCATTTGTCTACCCAAACTCCTGGGGCTAGAAATTCGTTCATTCAGTGAACAAAGATCTCTTCCGCACCCCCCCCCCCCGCCCAGTACTTATTTTTCATGGTGCTTGGGATGTGTCAGAGAACAAAACAGACCAAATGACAAACAGCAGAGATGACAAAATGATATTCTAAATGAATCCCATAATTCATTAGAAGTGGTAAGCGCAGAGGAGAGGGGGCGGGTAAGGTAGGGATGGTGTTTAATGGAGGAGTCAGGAGATGAACTGAGTCTGGAAGGGTGTGTCATGTTAGCCAAGCCCATGCCTAGGGTGCCTGGCATTCCAGGCAGAGGGCCCAGCAGAAGCGAAGGTCACAAAGGGAGCATGCCAGGGGTGAGCAGTAGGAACAGGGCTCACAGTGGAGAAGAAGCCACCGAGGAAGCAGACCAGATGGTAGGTCCATCAGGCACATGGTGGACTCCAGGTTTGTCCCTGTGTCGCAAAGCTCGAGCAGCACAATGACTGGGGATCTTACCAGGCGCCGCGTGAAGGACAGTTCCCAGGGAGGTCCCTTAGGACCAGCCTAGTTGGGGTAGGCAGTGGGTGGGAACAGGGAGATTCCAGAAGAGCTGAAATAAAATAAGGAGAGTAGAAGCAGTGTGGTTTTTGGTGGAATGGACACAGGGTTAGGCTTTGGACAAGGAAGACGTTAGTGACTTTAAAAAACCAACAAAGAATAGCTAGAGAAAAAAGGTATGATGGAGAATGCTTTAATCCCAGCACTCGGGAGGCAGAGGCAAGAAGATCTCTGTGAGTTTGAGGCCAGCCTGGTCTACAGATTGAGTTCTAGGTCATCTAGGACTACACAGTTAGACCCTGTCTCAAAAAAATTACCATAAAGAAAAAGTAGGAGTAGGGACTGGTGAGGCGGCTCGGTAGTTAAGAACACTGACTGCACTGGGCGGTGGTGGCTCACACTTTAAACCCAACACATGGGAGGAGAAGCAGGAGTCTGAGGCCAGCCTGGTCTACAGAGATGTTCCAGGACAGCCTGGGCTACACAGAGGAACCCTGCTCTTCTGGAGAGCCCGAGTTTGGTTCCCAGCACCCATGGTGGGTCACAGTGGTCTATAACTCCAGTATAGACTGGGCATCTCACACTTTTCTTCTGCTTCCTCAAGACCAGGAGTGCACTCAGTACACAGACATACATGCAAGCAAAGCACAATACACATAAACATTAAATAAGTGCGCATTCTGAGCTTCGTGACAGTAAACACGACAGTAATCAGCACTCGAGGCTGAGGCAAGAGTTCAAGGCCTCACGCTGAAACTTCCCGGAGTTGGCAATGTTGCTAGGAGAGAACGCTCACCTCACAGGCTGAACCCCAGCACTACCGTAAACTAAATACCTGTAGTGAGTTCACACCAGCCTGGGCTACATAGCAAGTTCAAGGCAAGTCTGCGCTGTATAGCTAGAAAGAGAGAGGAAGGAAAAGAGAAGAGGGGAGGAAATGAAGGAGGGAGGGAGGAGGAGGAAGATGATGGGGGGAGGAGAACCATCCCAGTGCCCCTCCCAGGCCGTCTGCGGGTCCCAGAAGTCCTGCAAGCAATTCTGAGAGCTTGGTGCTGGCAGAGCTCTGCTGTCAGTCACGAAGGTGACGTGAGATGCTCCGGAACACGAGTGACAGCACTTCCAATGTCACATGAGCAGGAGACAAGGGGGAAGAAGGCAGGAGCCCTGGAGACAGAAGGCCCCAAAGTCACAGGAAGGAGGATGTAGTGTTGGCCTTGGCCTGGGGTCAGATGATGCTGGCCTGTAAGACCTAAGGTCTGCCGGGTTTCACTGGGAACCGCAGCTAGGACGTTTCCAGCAGATGTTAGAGGCAGAATCTTGACTTGGATTGCGTTTAAAAGGGAAGAACAAATCTGAGACAGTAAATATAGACTCAGTTTTCAGAGGATTTTGTGGCAAAGGGAAGCCAAGAAGGGTGATTGTGAGTTGAGATTTTAGTCATTTGGAGCCGCGTGTTTGTGTGTGTGTGTACGTGTTTGTGTGTTTGTGTGTGTGCATGTGCACGTGAGTGTGTTTGTGTGTGTGTTTTCCTGTTTTTTATTTTGCTTTTTTGTTTTTAAGATTTTATTTCATTTTTATGTATGTGTATTTGTGCATCTGCGCACATGTGGGCAGGTGCCCATGGAGGTCAGAAGAGGGCATGGGCTCCCCGGAGCTAGAGTTACAGGTGGTTGTGAGCTGCTGGGAACCCATCTTCAGTCCTTCAAGAGCAAGCAGTGCTCGTTACCACGGAGCCACTTTTCCAGCCCCTTCTTCTGTGTTGTTTCATTCTTAATTTTTGAGTCAGTGTTTCACTTTGTTGTCCAGACTGTCTCGGAACTTACGGGTTCGCCCGATTGCCCTTAAATACATAGCCATCCTCCTGCTTCAGCATTCCAAGTGTTAGGATCACAGCTGTGAGCCACCCTGCACAACAAGTAGTTATTCTCATGAAATTTCAAACGTACAGAAAAGTTGCAAGTGTTGTTATTATCTAATAACATAAGAATCAAAGTTAGAGATTTGGGGATATGGCTCAGTTGGTAAGGTGCTTGTCTAGCGCGTACAAAGCCCTGGGTTCAGTTCTTTTCTACTGAGATTATATGGTGCCCATATTTTCAGTTTTGAATGAGTGAGTTTATTAAGCATATAGTAAGCAAAAATAAGAGAATAAGTATTGGGCTGGAGATATAACTCAGCAGCTAAGAGCACTGGCTGTTCTTCCAGAGGTCCTGAGTTCAGTTCCTAGCTACCATATGGTCAGGCTGTCTGTAATGAGATCTGGCGCCCTCTTCTGGCATAAAGGGTGTACATGCAGACAGAGCACTCATTCATAAAATAAAGATTTTTTTTAAAAAGATAAGCTGGGCATGATGGTGCACGCCTTTAATTCCAGCACTCAAGAGGCAGAGGCAGATGGATCTCCATGAGTTTGAGGCCAACCTGGTCTATAAAGCGAGTTCCAGGACGGCCACAGCCACACAGAGAAACCCTGTCTTGGAAAACAAAAATAATAATAATAAATAATAATATCCTGTAACAAATAAGAATGGTCATTAAATCAGGAAGTTCCCACATCCAGAAGAAACCCTGCCCCAATGCCCATGCTGAAGTGATTGCCCCGGGCAAAGCAGGGTCTCCCCATGGGGAGCTTCCAGCTTCTGGTTCCCACTGCAGGCAGTTGTATGCCACGGGCTAAACAACGGTAACATATGTTGGAAATGGTTTTCCTTCTTGCTGGTCCCAAAGGTGCAGTGTCTTTAATGCCCTTGGCTGTTTGCTGCTCTCCTCCCCGCCCCCCAGACCTGGGGTGCCAGCCTGCTCTGGGACTTGGAGTCTCGGAGGACACTGGAGATAAACAGGCTTGAGTGTGAGGCAGGAGACTTGTTCTCAAGAGTCCGCTCTCAACATGCACAAGCTGCACGTGACAATTTACTGGTGTAATGTATATTACAGGTCCCCAGGACCTGGCATGTTAGGGTATGCCTGTAAATTCAGGGTCATCCTAACATTCATAGCAATTTCAAGGCCAATCTGGGTTACAAGACACCCTGCTTACAAAGAAAAGAGGAAAAATAATTAACTGGAGTGTGGTAGGCCACACCTTTAATCCCAGTACTCTGGGACTCAGAGGCAGATGGGTCTGTTGTGAGTTCAAGACCAGTTTAGTCTACAATGTAGTAGAGCTGTGTCTCTAAAGGGAGGGCGGGGGCTGGGAATGTGGCTCAGCTGGCAGAGTGCCTGCTTCGCATCCACAGGCCTGGCGCTCAGGCACAAACCAGGCATTGCGGAGCACACCTGTGATGCCAGCACTCTGGAAGGAGAGGCCGCACAGTCTCAAGTCAGGGTCATCCTCAGCCGCGCCAGGACTCAGAAGCCAGCAGGGGAATATGGGAGGATGATTTAAAAGCAGGCCACACCACCTTCCACACACACACATACTCCAGCCCCAGGGGTTGGAAATGGCCATCCGTGTGTCGCAGCACTGCCTGGAAACTGCGTCCCCAGCAGAGTGCCAGGACCACAAACAGAGTGAATATTTATTCACAGGAACACATGCTAGTAAGCGGAAGCTTGAGCATGCGTGAGCATCACACATTGAGTCCAAGAGCTGTGCCAGGAGCACAGTGGCACATTTAGGAAGGAGGGGAAAGGTAAGAGATAGGGGCAGACCAAGGTTCCACAGAGCTTTATTGGGCTTGGCAGCCAGTCGTGACCCGGGAGTCTGGGAAAGGGGGGTAGAGGAACCACATGGAAAGGGGCAAAGAACAAAATGAAGCTGGGTGAGATCAGGCATTGATCAGGTGGTGGGGTGGGAACATCAGTAGTTCAAGGTCATCCTCAATTGCATAGCACATCCCAGGCCAGCTGGGCTACAGGAGACCCCGTTTCAAAAAGGCAAAACACAAACAGAAGAAAACAAGATTAGCCCTGGTATTTTCAAGATGAATAAGTGGAAGTGTGTTAGTTACCGTTCTGTGGATGTGGCGGATTACCTGACAGAGCGGTTTAGGAAGGACTCAGGTGGTGGGACACACCGTGTCCGCAGTCAGGGAGCAGAGGGAAGACCAGGAGCGCTGCTGTGCGACCGGCTTTGTCTTTCTTACTCAGTCCAGGACACCAGCCCAAGGGACGGTGCCACCAATACTTAGGGAGGCCCTTCCCACCTCTAACTAACCGAGATAATCCCTCACCGACGTGCCCAGAGGTTTTCCTCTGGTGACAGTCAAGAATGACTATCAACTCCCGTCGCCTGTGCTCACACAGCACTTCTGATTAAATGCAGTGGGTGCGAGGAAAGATGGAAGTAGGAAGGGACTTGTTAGGAGAGCGGGCTAAGGTACGGTATCGAGGGGCTGGATCAAAGTGCATTGTGTGTATGTGTGCGTGTGCGTGTGTGAGTGAGTGTGCGTGTGTGTGTGTGCATGTGTGTGTGTGCGTGTGTGTGTGTGTGTGTGTGTGAGAGAGAGAGAGAGAGAGAGAAATGTTAAATAAAAACTCCTAAAAATTAACCGTGAAGGAAAAAGAGGGAAACCCAGTATTAGGATGAGGTGTTTTAATTTTAATTGAGCATGTTAATTGGGTGAATCAAAGGGGACTTTTGATTGCTGGATTTTGGTAGTCAGCCCCAGGAAGAGGAAGTGGCCAAATAAGGGAATAGACCTTGGTGGTTAGCTTTAGGAACGTCGTCTAGTGGTTTTTAGCAAGACTGATGGCACTGGGGAGAAGGGCAAGGCCTGCCAGAGCATGTTGTGTCCCTTCAATTTTAAATTTACAGAAAACGTGCAAAAAGATTGCTAGAAAGAGCCGCCGTATATCCTTCATTCCACTTCCCCAATAATCTTCTAAGGGGATTACGCACACAGAATGATTAACTAGTGCATACCTGTGCAGTCTCTGTTCCGGGCACACCTTCTGCTGCATCTTGTCATGTCTCCTGATCTCTTCCAGCCTGTTTGTCTTTTACAGCCCTGACATATTAAAGGGCCCGTGGTCAGTTATTCTTCGGAATATCCCTCAATTTAGGTTTTGTCTCATTGGTTTTTTTTTTTTTCAAAATTAGATTGGAGGTATGCATTTGAGGCAGAATGGCACTGCGTATGTTATGTGCTTTTCTGGGTGCCTGGTACTAAGGAGCACACACTTCTGTGGTGTTAGCTTTGGTTAAGATGGGGTCCTCTGGTTTATGTCCATTTAGATAAAGCTTCCATTTTCCTCTTACAATTAATAACCATCTTAGCCAGGCGATGGTGGTACACACCTTTAATCCCAGCACTCAGGAAGCAGAGGCAGGTAATCTCTGTGAGTTTGGGGCCAGCCTGGTCTACAAGAGCTAGTTCTAGGACAGGTTTCAAAGCTACAGAGAAACCTGGTCTCATAAAACCAAATAAATAACCGTCTTACAGAAAATACTTTGAAATTATGCAAATATCCTGTTTACCCTCAAATTTTTACTCATCCACTTTAAAGAAAGATTTATCTTTAAAATGATGTATGTGTGCATATATAACGTGTGTGTGTCTGTGTACCTGCAGAGCTAGAGGCATCAGATCCCCTGGAACTACAGTTAAGGTGGTTGTGAGCCATCTAATGTCTGTTAACCTTCAGCCATCCCCTTCTGCCTCCCAAACCATTATTGCACACACCCCTGACTAGCTGTTACTGCACACACCCCTGACTAGCCATTACTGCACACACCCCTGACTAAGCCATTACTGCACACACCCCTGACTAGCCGTTACTGCATACCCCTGACTAGCTGTTACTGCACACATCTGACTAGCTGTTACTACACACCCCTGACTAGCCATTACTGCACACCCCTGACTAGCTGTTACTGCACACCCCTGACTAGCTGTTACTACACACCCCTGACTAGCAATTCCAGTGTTTCCCTGTGAAACCTGCACTGAGGAGGGGGGATCTGCTGAGGTTGAGGCCGGTGAGGACCACATAGTAAGACCCTGTCTTAGAACACAACAAATAACATTGTGAAGTTTGACCCCAGCTCTGGAAACCTCCAAAACATGGAGTTTTCCAGATGCAGCCTATGAGATGTGGCCTACCAGAAGCCATGTCTACTTACTCCTAAAAACCATGGCTGAGGGCTATTGCGATAGCAGGTAAAGGCCCTTGCTGCCAAGCCCAGTGATACAGCACAGATAATAAAAACCCAGAGACAGATATTGGGGTTCAACCTGAAGAGCAACGCAGCCACGCCCCTAGAGAGCTCTTTCCTCTGTGAAATCTTCAGACTGAAAGAGAGGGAGTTTCTGTCTCCTCCCACTTTATATTCCTTTCTAGTACTGGGATTAAAGGCAGGCACCACCACCGCCCGGCCTATATGGCTAACTAGTGTGGCTGCTGGGATTGAAGGTATGTGCCATCACTGCCTGGCCTCTATGGCTGACTAGTGTGGCTGCTCTGTGCTCTGATCTTCAGGCAGCTTTATCTATTAAGATTAAGTGATACACCACTATACAGTGGCTTGAGTTCGATCCCCAGGAATCACAGTCAAAAGAAAACTGACTCTGCAAACTGTCCTCTGACCTTCACACGTGCCATACAGACATATGCCCATACATGCATGTACACAAATAAATACATGCATATAATTAAGAAAAGCTGTTATGGGCTAGAGCGATGGCTCAGTGATTAAGAGCAATGGCTACCAGAGGACCCAGGTTGATTTCCAGCACCCAAATGGCACCTTGCAACTCTCTGTAGCTCCAGACCCTGGAGAGTAGCCCCTTCTTTTGACCTACCGGGCATACCTGGTACACAGACACACATATAGGCAACATACCCATACATGTAAAGTTAAAAATATTTTCTAAAGGAAAGAACTTAAGAGAGAATTTAAGTTTCAGGTGCCCATTGTTCCCCTGATAAAAGAGAATCGACTCAAGCAGGGCAGTAGTGGCAGTGGTGGCGCACATCTTTAATCCCAGCACTCGGGAGGCAGAGACAGGCAGATCTCTGAGTTCAAGGCCAGCCTGGTCTATAGAGTGAGTTCTGGGACAGTCAGGGCAACACAGAGAAACCTGACTCAAGAAAAAGAGGATTGACTCAAACCTCCAGATGCTGAGACACCCCAGCCTCCATGCATCCCAGGGCTATTAACACTTTAACCTGAAAAGTAGCTCAATCCCAAGGGCCACATCAGTCTCCCCTAAGGAGGCACCACGCCCCAATGCTGACGTGGTTGCTGGCTTTCTGGGATCAGCATTGTGTTCTGTCCTTGCATGTCCCCTCTCCAGCAAACGAGTCTGGAGTTCTGAGAGTCTAAGAGGTACAGTGCCCGTGCCCAGAGCAGGCACTCAGAAGTGGGAGGGCTGGGCCTGGAGTCCACACTTGCTAATGGCCCACACAGGGATCCCCAGCCAGCACCTCACTCCGGAACTACACCCCAGAATCTTCAGGAGTGTGGCCAACTGAACCTCAAAAGATGCTTGGATCATATTCGAAACGATTTAAACCCACTAGGCATGGAGGCAAATGAAAATACCAAAAAAAAAAAGAATGGCCAAGAGGAACACAAGTTTGAGGCCATCCTGGTCTGCCTAGCAAGCTCCATCCCAGCCAGGGCTTATAATGAGACCCTGTGTCAGAACACAAAGGGGATGGGATAGAGTTGAGTTGGCCTAAGTCTTGCTCAGCATTCACAAGGCCTGCATTTGATCCCCAGCCCCACACAGATTGGGTGTGGTGGCACGTGACTGTGACCCCAGTATTTGGCAGGTGGAGGAAGACGTTCCAGAGCAAGAGTTGGGAAGATGGCTCAGCAATTAGAGCACTGACTGCTTCTCCAGAGGACCTGACAGCTCACAGCTACCTGCATTCCAGTCCCAGGGATCCAACACCCTCTTCTAGGCTCCTCAGGAACTAGGTGCACACATGGTACACAGACATACATGCAGACAAAACACTCATATCATGCACATTAAATAAATTACTGAAAAGTTCAGGTCGGTCTTGGCTACAGAGTTTAAGTCAAGCATGAGATCTGTGAGACCAGGTCTTTAAAAAAAATGAAAAAAGAGGGAGTTGGATACAGAGCTAGTTTAGACCTGCCGCATATGGAACCCTAGATTCCAGGCCTGAGGTCACAGTTAACTGTTTTGGCACGTAAGGTGGGAAGCAGTAACGGCAGCCAGCTGCCCCTGCCAGCCACCCGAGGCTGAGGAGATGCACCAGGCCAGAGCTGACTGACCACTGACCTTTGACCCTCCATTCCAGCAATTCCCTTTCTGTTTGATGTCTGTGAACATCACCCGCATTGCCATCCAGGCCCTGAGGGAAGAGTGTCTCTCCAGGTGAGTCCCTGGGATCAGAGTGATGGGCAGAGCCTGGTTTAGCCCCATCCATGCTTCGTTCTACACAGATAATTCCCCTGCACCAGCCACCTTGCCTCCCTAACCTGACCCGGATGCCCCACTGCTTGGGGGAACAGTGGGGTGAGGTGACCAGACAGGCTGGGAAGGAGGGCACTGGTGTGTCAGGTTCACTGTGGCGGAGCAGGTCACCTCCTTCGTCCCGCAGGGAATGTAACCGGCGACAGAAGGTCATCCCAGTGGTCAACAGCTTCTACGCAGCCACCTTCCTTCACCTGGCACGCGAGTGGAGGGTCCAGCAGAGGACTATCTCAGACTCAGGCTTTGTCCTCAAAGGTGGGCACCTTCTGTGGAACTACATTTCCGCTCCTCCTCTCCCTTCTCCTCCCCTCCCTCAGAAAGCCCGGGGGTCGCTCTTACCCCTTTCTCTGTCACCCTTTCTTCCAAACGCATCCGTTCCCTTGCTTGTTATTTGCGTGTGGAAGAAGCAGGGGCTCCCTGTAAGGCTGTGGCTGAGCTGGAACTTGCTGTGTAGATTAGAATGGCCTTGACTGTATGGCAGTCCATCTGCCTCTGCCTCCTGACTACAAAGATTCCAGGCGTGCACGACAGGCTCTGGCCTTATATGAATGATAGTTGTTATTTCTATTTTTGAGTAGTGTCTCACACTGTAGCCAGGCTACAATCCTGCCTCTGTTCCCCTGCTCTGAGATTGCAGCCTTGAGCATGAGGGGCTCCTGACGATCACGTCAAACAGCAAAACCCCCACATCTTCTGAACCGAAACTTGACTGCTCAATAGGCATAGTACGGGCAGATCTCTGAGTTCAAGGCCAGCCTGGTCTACACGTGAGTGCGGGCAGATTTCTGTGAGTTCAAGGCCAGCTTGGGCTTTGCGGGAGTGCGGGCAGACCTCTGAGTTCAAAGCCAGCCTGGGCTACACGTGAGTTTCAGGCAAGCCAGGGCTATATATTAAGATCCTGTCTCAAGAAACAACAAAACAGGACTGGCAAGATGGTTCTGTGGTTCAGATGGCCTACTGCTCTTGCAGGGGACCCCATTTGCTTCCCAGCACCCATGGTGGGCAGCTCACATTTGCCTGTAACTCCAGCTGCAGGGAGCTGCTGTTCCCCTGACCTCTGCACTCCCACACTCATGGGCACGTGCCCACAGGCAAACCTCTATGCATGCTTTAAAGAATAGTAAGTCTTGAAAGCGTACAACCAATCAGAGCCTGGGCTGGGAATGTGGTGCCTTGCTTTTAAAGCTCCTGCCTGGCATGCAGGAGCCCCGGGCCCAATCCCCACCCAGTGCTTCACAAACCATGTGTGATGGCGCAAGCCACTTAGTAGAGACCGGAGGACAAGCAGCTCAGGGTCTACAGGAGACCTGTCTCAAACAGAACAGAACCGTGAGACCTGGGGCTGGACAGACGACTCAGCAATTAAGATCACTGGCTGCTCTTCCAGAGGACTGACCTCTAACCCAGCACCCACGTGGTGGCTCACAGCCATCTATAGCTGCAGTGCCAGGGGCTCTGGTGCCCTCTGACCTCTGTAGGCATTAGGCACATGTGCTACATAGACATGCATTGAAGCAAAACCTCGTACATATACAATAAAAAAGTTTTAAACTGCCGGGCAGTGGTGGCGCACGCCTTTAATCCCAGCACTCGAGAGGCAGAGGCAGGCGGATCTCTGTGAGTTCGAGACCAGCCTGGTCTACAGAGCTAGTTCCAGGATAGGCTCCAAAGCCACAGAGAAACCCTGTCTCGAAAAACCAAAAAAAAAAAAATTAATAATAATAAAAATAAGTTTTAAACTAAAGGATGTGAAAGTTGAGGTCTAGCAGTTGGAGTGCTTCTACAGAGCTGAGGTCTGTGTCACAGGGAGAAGCCATCTCTGGGCCCTGTCTGGTTTGGCCATCTTTGTTGACTGCTTTACTCTTGTCTCTATAGGACAGGGGTTGGTTGTGTTCACAGAGCCATTGGACTCGAGACCCTGTGCTCCCCAGATCCCCCTAAGTTTCCCCATCTCCTCTGTTCCAGACTTGGAAGTATTGGCCAAGAAGAGCCCCAAACGGCTTCTCAAGACGCTGGATGTTTACCTAGCCCGGGTGTCAAAGGGACAGGCCTCCTTGTTGGGGGCACAGAAGTGCTCTGGATCCCGAGGGCCTCACGCCAGGGACCTCACCTTCACAGGTGTCTGTGATATGCAGTCTCACTCATCCGAGAGCGCGGGGTTGATCTGACCCACCCTGGAGACCAGGGTTGATCTGACCCACCCTGGAGACCAGACCAGGGTTGATCTGACCCACTCCAGAGACCAGACCAGGGTTGACCTGACCCACCCCGGAGACCAGACCAGGGTTGACCTGACCCATCCCGGAGACCAGGGTTGACCTGACCCACCCAGGAGACCAGACCAGGGTTGACCTGACCCACCCCAGAGACCATTCCCAGAGAGGCTGCCTGGGTCGCTGGAGCTTTCACACCTGAAGAACCATGTCTGAGCCCAAACCCTTCCTGCCTCTCTGCAGGTGACATTAGGATGCTCCCGCGTGTGGGTGGTGAAGCTTAAGTTTCTTCACCAACATAGCTCATTGGGCAGCTAGAATTAACCTCCTTGTACCTTTGAAGCAAGGGGTCCTCTGTTGTTCCCAGCTGGGCCCTTGTTCACAGGGTTGGGCCCCCGATGTCTCAGGGGGCATGAACAGGCCGTGAAGTAGGACAGCCGCGTCTGAACGGCCTACACATCCAGTCTACCCCTTCGCACCGAGAGAGAGTCCCAGCGAGTGGCTGCTGGGATTCTGACTCCCCAGAAGCCGGCTCCACGTCTTGAGGTTGGAAATTGGAAAGGCAGAGGCAACAATGTCTTCGGCCAGTTGGGGGCAGCACAACACAGGAAAAAGCGACTGATTGATGCAGGCCCCTCCCTTCAGTCACCACAATTTCCAGGACACTTTCTCCCCCTCCCCCTGCCCACCATTGTTTGTGATTTAGAAATGGGCACAGGCCGGGGATCCTGTGGAGACCGCGCACCAGGTTAACAATGGCCATCTGGCCTGGCAGAGAGGCGATGGGATCTCGCTCGCCCACTCGCAGTTTTAGAATAAAGGAACTGTTGTATCTAGTGTTTTCTCCCAAGACAGTTCTTTCAGGACCTTTCTGTGCCCTGTTGTCTAGGAACCAGATTGAGCCAGGCAGGTTAGCACTTAAGGTGCCGTGGGGTTGCAGACTCCTCAGGCCCCAGGATGGAGAGGCTTCCTGCACCCTGACTGCCTGCCATCCGAGTTCCCCTGGCTGCACCTGCAGGCCTGGAGACATCCTTTATTATTGTGAGTATGATATGGGGTGTGGGGCACACACTTGATGTGTGGGGATCAGAAGACAGCTTGCGACGTTGGTTCTCTCCTTCAACCTTTCTGGAGATTAAAACCAGGTCGACCAGCTTTTGTGGCAAGCTCCTTACCCGCTAAACCAAGTTGCCCACCCAGGCCAGGAGGCCTCTTGCCTACTCTAGCTAGTGAGCATGGTGGCTCTTGTTAGGGTTGACTGGTGTGGTATCCACCTAGGCTTTGCCTGCTTTTGCTCTGGGGCCTGGCTGTTGCTCCCTCACCCCAGCCTCCCACCTAACCACCCATGAGCCTCAGGCCCCTGCACTCCTCTGGCTTCCAGCCACTCCAGAGATGGCACCCACAGAGGCCTCCCTCCCAGTGTGCCCGTGACAAAGCCCTGCATATTTACAGGGTCTCAGGTCGAAGGCTTTGTTACCATGTCTCTCCCTGTAGCTCCCCATCTTCAGCGTCCAGCAGAGAGGTCAGCAAGGCCCCAGTCAGTTTGGGTGCTTGCTTAGCTACTGTCCCATTCCCTGGCTCCACAGGGTCCCAGGGCCGCAGGGACACTAGGAGGGCCGGCTGGAAGGGAGCCAGCTCCCCAGCAGGGACCCTTCGTCCTGACCAGGGTGCACACAGCTTCAAGATAACTCAGCAGTCTGTTCTCCTAGTGGGTGGGTTGGGGGTGGAGGCCTCTGAAGGCTGAAGAGTGTTTTTCTTGGGGGTAGGAAGGACCGTCTTCCACGGGAGAATCCCTGGGTACGTCCTCCCCGGCATGTGCCCCTGTGTGGTCAGTGGAGAGCTAGGAAGTCTCAGGGAGACCGAGGACGGGTCCGCAGACGAGCTCTCTGGCACAGCATCAGAAAATAAACTTGATTAGACTTTCTGTGTGTGGGACAGAAGAATCCAGTGCCACCGCGCAGAGCCACAATAACACTTGGGACACAGGAGGGAGGTGCAGGGCAGCTGCTGCTGGGCCTCAGCCTCTGGCCCAGGCTCACCCAGACACCTCTCCTGCCACTGTGACAGCTCCCTTACCCTCTCTAGCTTGTTTCTTTTGAGTTGCTGTGTCACATAGCCAAGGCTGACCTTGATCTCACTGTGTGTCAAAGGCTAAAGACATGATCCAGCACCCTCTACCTCCTAGGTATGTCAGGGTTACAGACACGTACCACCATACCGGGCTCACTCACTCTCTGCCCTCTTTTTTCTGCTATTCCATACTGTCATTAACAAGAAATAGAACTAGGGCTGTGGCCAGAGAAACAAGGGCCTCTCCACTAGGCTGGTGCTTTTCATACACACACTCCACAGGCAAGCAAGGATCAGAAATAGGGCTTCTCCGCTATAGACTTGTGCTTTTCTCACACACACACACACACACACACACACACACACACACACACACACACACACACACACACCAGCCCTGGGCTGATGCACCAAACACAAAACCCCGCGGAGTAAGAGAGGACAGCTGGCCCGCTCAAGGACTCTGGCACATTCCGTTGCTGGATTCGTGTAATCATTTAAAACTGCCTCATGGGTGCTTATTGGGGCATCTGAGGAAATACTGGCTTGAATAGAAATCTATCCCCAGCCACAGCCACAGCCTTCTCCCAGGCGGGAATGTGAGACTTGAACTAAACCCTGGCCCGAAAGCGATGCCGAGGCCTGGCACTGTGCCATCTCCCTATCAGGTTCTGGGCACGGTGGGGATCGGACAGCGGCTCCACTGAATCCTGGCCACGCAGAGCCAGAGCTGGGCTCCTGGAGGCGGCGGGATTATCCATCACCTATGTTCTACTCGGACCCCAGAATGGGGACGAGCCCAAGGGAATAGGCAGAAAAATCAGCCCAGGGCGAGCACACAGGAGAGAGCTGGGAACGGGAACTGAAGGTGTGTCCTTTATTGAGCATCCGGGCACCTCGGTGCTGACTCAGCAGCGGGGGAGGGGGCCAGGCAGATGGTGGGAGACCGCAGAGCAGGCTGGGGACTCCCACCCTCACTTCCAGTCCTTGAAGAATTGCTTGAAGATGGGACTCTCTCGGCCCTGGGGTAGAATCTCCACCTGCAGTGGGAGAAAGGCTTGGCTCACAGGCTGCCCACCTGTGCTTCTGAGGAGGGGGACAAGGGCTGCCATGACCAAGGGAACGCGCAGCGATACCTTGCCAGCTGTGTCTCCCGAGAGAATGTTCCTTTGTGGTTAAATCTTCTTGTCATGGCCCTACAGTTAGGCTGTCTTGCTACATCAGAGACAGGGGCGAGAGCATTTTCCCATGCGTGCCATCAACCAGAAGGCCCACATCTTCTAGTGGTGCACAATCACTAATGCCCCTCGCGCTGTGGTTTTCGATGGCCCCCACACACATACACCCTTTTGTGGGTTTTATAGAGGCTATGGGGGAACCACTCTAAAGGGATATCTGGTCCATCGTGATTTAGGAGGAAAAAGGACCAGTTTGCCTCATGAATATACCACCCACCTCCCAAATAGTCATAAAATTGTCTTCAATAGCCACAAAGCAGAACCCAGTGTGGTACAATGATCTCTTTGAAATGCTCCTTTGTGTGATTTGCTAAATAAACTGCTCAAACCGTCTGTCTCTTGACTAAATTCTTTCATTCAAGAAAACGGGAGCCCTGTAAGACCAGGCGAGAGGCCCCAAGCAGTGTAAGCCAGTCCCCAGAAGACAAAGATGAGAATCAAGCTCATAGGACACAGGCTGAGAGAACACTGCTTCATGGGTTGGGGTACCCAGTTTGGCAGATTCTGCCAATCAGACGTCAGCTGTACCAGAATTTCTGTATCAGAATTTCTGACCAGGGAATGGTGACCTGTGATCTCGGCACTTGAGAGGCTGAGGCAGGAGAATCGTTGTGAGTTCAGGCTAGCTGGGGATGCATATTCTAAGCTACTCTGGGCAACAGAGGGGGACTGTCTCGAAAGGGGTCAAGGGGGCTGAGCATGTAGCTCCATTGGTAGAGCGCCTGCCAGCCACACACCAAGCCCTGAGTTCAGTTCCCAGCACCATATAAGCCAGGTGAGACCCACACTAGAGGCCAGAAGATGAGAAGTTCAAGGTCATCCTTGGCTACTTAGAGAGTTTGAGGCCAGCCTGGTCTGCATGTGACCTTTACAGAGAGGTGGGATGAGAATAACTTGTGTAGCCGCCTGCTGGGACTAAGAGAAAAGGAACACTGCTGGCTGGGGAGACCCAGCCCCAGTGACCGCCCTACCCTTCCACCTCCCAAGATTCTCTCTGAAAATATGTTTTGGGTTTTGTTTTTTTAAAAGGCTGAAGGACTGAAAGGCCTTTCCACCTAACTGGTCTGAGGCAGGCAAGTCTGCTCCCAACACCTGAGGTGTCCAGGTCTTGTTCAGGCTGGGGTAGGGAGCCCCAGGAGGGTACCAGGAGGAGGAGGTGGGGACATGGGTTTGTCCTCACCTGCGTGTTTGGGGAGTATCTCATCCGAGAGATGAAGCCATCGGCCACTTGGAGGGCTGCCTGCCGCTCCTTCTCGTTAGCTTTTCGCCCTAGAACATAGGAACGAGATGTCATAAGGAGCAGAAGGTGAGGTGTGGCTATCATCATTGGGGCGCAAAGTGTAATTCAAGCTGAAGGCATTTGACAAGGAAACAGCCAGGCAGTGGCTGACTCTCTGACCACTGTCAAAATCTTGTGAACCACAAAGTTCTTCCCCTGTAAGTGACTCACTGCTGTGGCATCCTTGGGCACTTGTCCCCCTGCTCCCCAGCTTCCTGTCCTACTGGGCCCTTTTCTGTAAGGATTCCTTTCTCGGGGACCACAGACACATGGGCCTCTGGAATCTTAGCACTGGCTTCATGGGGTTTGGCGCCTCTGCAAGAAGGAAGAGGCCACCCCAGGGCAAGGGACGTAGCTCAGTCGGTAGAATATTTGCCCAGCATGCCTGGGTTCCAGCCGCAGCACCAGAGAAAATCCCATCACTCAGGAGATGGAGGCAAGAGAATCAGGGGTTCTTTGGCTGCAGAACAAGTCAGAGGCCAGCCTGGGCTACACGAGACCTTGTAGGAAGGGAAAGGGCTGGAGAGATGACTCGGTGGTTAAGAGCACTTTGCTGCTTTTGCAAAGGACTAGAGTTCAGTTCCCACCCCCCACATCTGGAGCTCAAAACTGCTTTT